GGCAGCTTTCAATAGCATTTAACTGACTGAAATTTCTTATCTTAAAAATCAAGTAATCCATAAAACAAACACTCAGACCCAACAAACCTGTTGTTTGTCCTGCTAGAATGAACAGGAACATTTGCATCTGAGCTGCATTGCACATGAGTTTTATGCAAAATTAGATTTGTGTGTGATAGTTTTTGTTCTCTGTCATTGCGGCATATGGACTTGTACAGGCAGTAGCCTTGTCTTGCAAGTGTTTGGCACAGACTTAGAATTTCTCTTTTTTTCGTTTCCTGAATTGCTAACAGCTTCATGTGAAAAGTGGCTGTTGGACAGGTGGAGGGTGACTACTGAACCAAAAAGCTGTCTGAACTCAAAATGTGTGTCATGGTTTTTCCTTCATGGAGGTGGCATCTGCTTCAAACCTAGCAGGATTAAGCAGAATCAGCTGAATGTACTAGGGCAGCCCTAACATACGCAGTGTGTGCAAGCAGTACATTCAGCTGATTCTCTCACTGATAACAACAATAAATTATGTTGATAAGCTTTCCCTTCCATTTGTCTAAACCAGTTTTCTGACTTCTTATGAACTAACTAATATGCACAGATTTCTGTTCCATTGACTTGAGTGTGTCTATCCCAGAGATAAATTTCTCTTGAAGAATGATAAAAATACTGGATTATGTTGCTGGTGACAGGTAATCATCTCTCTAACAATATTGGGCACGATGCTAAAGTAATAAAAGCATCTTTTTTCTTCCTCTTTTCTTTCTTTTAAAAGTTAATGGAATTACTGCACTAATGCCCACTGTCAGTGAGGCTGATGAACTTTAACTTACCATTCTGAAAAACCAGAGACACGTCATCCCCATGCCTTTGTTCTGCAGTAGAATGAATGCACCGTTAGCTGTTAAATGTATTTTAATTCAAATGTGTTTGCTACTAGGACAGAAAAAAATACAGGAGGTTCATTTTTGCATTGCTGAGAGCCATGGATCTTATGTAATACATTTCAAGATAGTATTCAAGAGAGAAATGGTCCTTACAACAAGCTAGTAGCTGTGCTCACAGGGTGCAAGAATGCATTTCCTATTGTTTTTCCCTCCTCCTCCTTACCACAATGAGGACAGAGCTCTTGGTAGATAGCACACAGAAGCGATCAGACTGTCAGGCTGAATGCTGTACGATGGCAGTGCCTTTATGAAGTATGACTACCATCTGTGAGCTTATCCGAAGCTTTTTTCAAGGCAGTTTCTTACCTAGGTTTCCCTCCAAGATCTTAGCTCACAAATCTTCATTCTCTCCCCTGCCTTGAGCAGAGAGATCAATTTGGTTTGCCTTCTCAGCACAGTACTGAGAACAGGAATTGCAATTAATCTTAATCTGTACTCTGATATCATCTCACTTGAATTTTTTTTTTTGTCCAATTCTAAAAGGTCAAATGTTTTTGCTGACGTTGAATGCATTATGAGGTCAAATAAATGAGTGCTCATGAAATGCTTTTGCGGAAAGCTCCATGCAGCAGATAATTTGTGTGTGTGCGTGTGTTCATTTCTCTGTTAGATAAATGCAGTTGTAGTGTTTCCTGGTTACTCATTGTTCTAGAGCATTGATGCTTAGGAGGCCTGGACAGAGGGGTCAGCAAACAACAAATGAAGGGACTGCTCTTATATTATTCTGGTTGAGCATTATTTATGTCTCCGTTTGGCTTTAAGGATGCCTGTGGACTGCTTTCTCCAGCCGTTGTGCTGCAGTGCTGAACTACTGTTGCTGGCAGCTGATCAGAAACGAAACGTTTGGCGTGACAGTATGGGAAGGAAGTAGTAAAACTGGTGGTTGGTGTATTTATCTATCCGTGCTGAAGAAAAGGAGAAAGAGGGGATTGCACCATTTCATTACAAATCAGTGACATCTGAGGTTTAGACACAGTCTGTTTTCTTACTCAGAAATCGGGTAAAATGATTGTCGTTCCTTCTTTGTGTTTTCCTCCAGACTTTCTTTCAGACTGGGCTTGGTGCTTTGCCTTGGAATCCAATTGCATTTGGCCCCAGAAAGAGAACACTTAGTCTCCTGCTTCCTTGCACTTGGAGGACAAGGCACATGGCTCACAAATTCCAGGCTCTGAGATCTGTTACGGCTGGGATATAGCGTATCAGCTGCTGAATCAGGGGCTTGGAATTTGGGGATGGTTCTGTTGTCTTATGACTGTAAAGGTTGGCACTTGATTAGTTCAGAAGGCTGGGATGTGTTACTTTTACTTACGTCTAATCAGCAGAAAATAAGGAAGGATTCTGCTTAGTTTTGCATCTTGTTTCTGCCCTGCTGCAAATCTAAGGTTCAGTCCTCAAAGTGCCCCTTACCTCAGAGGGGAAAGCAATGCTGTCTAATGCAAAACTAACTCAGTTTTGACAGAATTCTGGTGAGACAACTGGGGCAGGATACAGGTGAAGACTTCTTCAATTAGTGTAGAAGACAAATATTGCTGAAATCCAGAGGTGCAGCTGTGTAGCAAATAGTGCACAGACAGTCTGCTTAGCTACAGGTTGGCCAGATAAATTCCTGGCAAGACCCCTTTTGACTGAACAAGAGGAAGTTTAGTTCCTAACAAGCTGGGAAGCGAGCCCTTCTGTGTCAGGATATGTCTTCCAAAGCTCTCCCTGTAACTTTAATTGGAAAAGGTTAATCTGATTAGATAGTGTTTACAAAGAGCTTTAAGGATGAAAAGTGCTATGTAAGTGCTGACTGTTATGATCATGATAGATATGCTTTATCAGCAGTTTGCAGGATGAGTAAGGCTTTCCCCCCCC